AGTTTCCCCCAAAGACATGTGCTTTAGGTGAATTGGGTTAGCTAAATTGACCGTAGTGTATGAGTGTGTGTGAATGCAAGAGCATATGAGTGTTTTCCAATGCTGGAAGGGGATCTGCTGTGTAAAGCATATGCTGGAATAGTTGGCAGCTCATTCTGCTTTGGCGACCCCTGATAAATAAGGGATTAAGCTGAATGAATGAATGTTTTTCTCTCTTTTATTTCCTCTTTTAGACCCGACGAGGCGAGGGAGGAGAAGGTGACACCGATGAATCCTGGAGCTCACCAGAATCCTCTGATGAAGAAGACGGAGGGCCAGACCATGTGCAGTGCATGTCCTCCTGAGCCACACACACACACACACACACACACACACACACACACAAATGCATACACTTTGCCATATATTTAAGCACATACATTCTAGTAACACACTGGTACACAAATAAACACTGAAAGGCCAGCAACAGACAAACACACACACATACACACACAGCTTTATACACACAGTGTTAGGGAGAGGGAAACGACTGGCAAAATCTGGCTTTATGCTCCACACACACACTCAAATGACATCAATAGGAGAGATCTGATATGGAGATGCATATTTTTGATATTTTTGCAACCACACACACTCACACACACAATTAACCACTCTGATTTTAGACAAACACGGACACAGGTGCATTTCATTTTCAGTTACAGCGGATGACGGAGAAATGTCGCCTCTAATGTTTTGCTGCCTTAGCTGGTTAACGATCTTAAAAGCAGCATGTTACTTCAGCAAGACGCAAGGCTCAGAAGAGGAGGTTTCTCACTCTGTACTGTAGTAAAACAGTTGAAACTTTAGTTGGTTTGGAGCATGATGGGACAGTACGGATACACAAAGGCAGTCCTGCAGATTACTGAGCTGATGAGTGTTACTTTATTCAAAACCAGCACCATCCTTTTCCCGGCCTCATCAGATCTGAACTGCCTCTGTCTCCGACAAAGACTGCGCTGATGTTTGTTATTTTCAGACTGCAATCTTCATCTTTGATATACTGTCATTGAGCGTCTGGCTGTCCCCATCCTGTCTATTCTTGGTTCTCTTTCCCTGTGTGTGTGTGTGTTTGCTGAAGCAAGACACAGTGAATATTTTCTCGAGGAAAATCATGCTCTCTTAGATCTGACTGAAGTTGCAGAAGAATAGCCAGAGCCGCTTCATCTGGCTGTTTTTGCTCTGTTCCTCTCTCCCATGCTACTGAGTGCACTTTAATCAGGGATCTGCTTTGAGTTTTCAATCTCTATGACGAGTGTGCACTTGGGGGGGTGGGCGGGGGCATGCAATACTTGGATTAAATGTGTTTATTTTGATTAATTACGTTCTCATGCTTTGCCCGGCAGTTGCCCGAACTTATAGTGGACTTTTAAATTGACTACAGATTTGAACACCAGCTCTTTTGGGGTTTTTTTTTGGATTTGCACTTGGGTGGAGATACTTTATGGAGGAACTCCAAAAGGCTTAAAAAAACAAAACTCTCTGTGGACTGCCGTCAATTTCTCAGCCCTGTCCACTAGAAATTTGAGAAGACGTGCTTTAGAGCCAGTGATTTGTTCAATCCATGTTTCTTCCTCTATCTTTTGTTTGAAGGAACATCCTCCAGATCTTCGCCTCGATAGTGAGGATCAAATGTAGCAGGATGTTTCCATGTTTGCCTGAAGAAACTGAAGCCATTTTTCATAAAAATGGTGGCGTTTGGATTCAGCTGGATAAGCGCTAAGCATGGACGGACTGTGACCTGTTGCATGTTGAAAAAAGTGATTATTTGTGAAGGATGGGTCATCGGCAGGCGCTGGAAAGCACTTGTAGGTACACAGGGAGGGGTAAGACGCGTGAATTACTTTGCCCCTTTTTTCCTTCTTCTTTTGTGAGGGGAATAAAGTCTCAACTTTTCTCTTTTTGTATGAGAAGAATAACTTAAATGACTATCTGTATATACAAATATATAAAGATATTATATATATATAAATATTAAACACCTGTAAAAATCATCTTTAACCATTGCTCTTTTAAAGGGTGTCTAAATTTAATTGGTATTGATGCAGAGGTTTATATTGTACAAGACGAAATACTTTTAAACGAATGGAAAACATTGGATCTATTTTTCTTCCTTTTTTTTCTGAATTACAACCCTGATTGTCACTGAAGTTCAAAGCATTAACTTCTGTTCATGTTCATTTGCTCATTCTCACTTGTCTGCTCAAAATGTCTGTCCTATCACTGGCATGTGTTTTTTGTTTTTTCTTCTTTCTTTTTTTAGGGTTTTGATCAGAGTTTTCCCACCGCTGCCTAATATTGTGTTCTTTCAGTTCAGTTCAGACAACATGTACAATTTGTGCAGTAAAAAAAGAGAGAAAAATCTGTTCTTTTGTTTCTGACCAAGTGCCTTATTGTTTCAAGTCTCTTCATTTACTGCAAATACAGTAGGGAATTATTTCCTATCTAATTACATGCTGCCATATGCACTTGATCATAGTTTATATGTAGTTATTGCTATTTAATTAATTGTATTGGTAATTACAGATACTCGTTTTCTGCATCCTATGCTTAGACAGGAAATAAATAACAAAACATTACATCCGAATTGTTTAATAGGAGATCTGTCGTGTGCAGTTTTGACATTTGATCAGCTAAGAAAATTGACTATAAAATTATGGTAACACAGTAAGGTCTTGTTATTTTAACTTGAGTTACTGCTTTAGTTTACATGAATTCACAACACACTTATTATCAACATTTTTTCTTGTATCTTGTATGTTATATTGCGTATATTTTTATGTTAAGTAGTGTTGCTTTCAATTTTCAGTACATAAATTTAGAAATTCATAATAGATTTACTGGATATGCAGAAAAACAAGTCACATGTTGAAACTGATTGGAAATAAACTATTTTATTTATGTCATATATTTTATGAAAACAATACTATTAATCACATGTAAATTGGCTTGCCAATTAATTGTACCTCGATTTAAGAACCTTTTCTTGATTTAAGAATTTTTGCAAATTTATTATTAAAGTGTAAAGAAGCCGCAGCAATGTCGATAAGTGTGTTTGAGAAAATATTAAAAATTGTCAAATTAATTAAATGGTAATTGTGATGGGAACAAATATGTTTTGTAGACTGCAAATAGAGTTTATTAAATGTTCCTTAAAATTTTAAAGAACATTATAATGAATCTCCCTTTAATAATGCATGTTCCCTTCAAATGAGTAATTATTTTTTCTTTGGAATGTCTAAAATGTTTTACATTTACTTTCAAACAACCTGCAGAAACCCTGCTCTGGTATTATGCTTAACACTTCTGTACTGTTGGGGATGTTTTTATCCACTCAGGGGTGTCTTGCAAGAGTCTAAAATTGACCATAACGTTTTCTGTGTGTCAGCTAGCAGAATGATTTTTGATGACAAATCTTATTTTTTAACATATTTTGAGAAAATGCTTTAAAAAAACACGCTCCGGGCAAATGTACTACCCTTTTGTTATGTTTGGGATGAAAACAACCACTAAATTAAACTGCTGTAAACATGCATCAGATCAATATTTTTTGACATAATTTTTTTCATAAATCTGTTAATCAACCTCAGTCCTGATCAAAACTACTGAATTGTTTAGAAAATTACAGGATTTTAACTTTAATTGTCAAACTCATAAATGATGTCACTGATTTAGTGGAAAAAACACACAAATTTATGTATTTTCAATATAAAAAGTAATTGTGTACTAACTAGATTATTTTACCTTTTATCACAGTCTTGGACATGTGAAACTATGTTGCTTTTGATAAATTGTTTTTGATTAATTTTCTTTTTTTTTCTCCCTGATTTACTGTTGGTGGCTGTTTTTGCCCCATTGACTTTATAACCACATTTTTATCACAAAGCCATGACACCATATAATCATGCATTTTTGATTGTTGGCGGTGTTCCCTCTTGGGATGAGGTCAAATTTTTAATTTTTACTATTGAACAGCAGTTGGCAGACTTCACCCTTAGATAGGCCTGTGCAAAAAAAGCTTAGTTTCTGGATTTTATATGGAGTATTATTACAACAGGAAATTAAAGTGAAAAAAAAAAAAAAGAATAACGCGTTAAAGCCAATGTTGTATACATTATTACATATTAATAGTTAGATGTCCAAGATTTTTTTTTAATCCAGTGCACTTTTTATATTGAAAATGTCATTTTGTTTTTTTCCCCACCAAATTAGTGACATCATTTATGAATTTAGCAAATTAGGGAGTTAAAATCCTGTCATTTCCTAAACAATTTAGTATTTTTGGACTGAGGTGGATTAAAAGATTTATGCCAAAAACAAAAAAAGTAAAACATTGATCTGATGCATTTTTACAGCAGTTTAATCTAGTGGTTGTTTTCATCAGAACTTAACAGAGGGGTAGTACATTTAAACGGGGTTAAACTAATATACATGGATAAACAATAAAATTGCACATTGTGGGTGCACTCTGGTTGCTCAATTTTGAGGATGGGTAACCAAGTGTAGCTACAAAAAAAAGTCTTGCCTTCTTTAAAAAAATATTTTAATGCGCTCTTCATAATAACACGATAATGTAATTATACACATAGTTTCAATGCAGTTTTTATAGATTTAATGGTATTGGTCACGGTATATATTTAAATCGAATTATTGGTTAAAACCGTTAAAACATTTAAATTATTAGCACTGACCACCAATCACACACATGAAGGGCACAGGGGATGCGACTCACACGATCCTTTCAAAATACAAGCCCCTGCTCGTTTGACTCTTTGCTGACCTGCATTTTAAAATTACACGTTTCAACTTAAACTTCACAGACTTTTAAATTGTTTCAATAACGCTCTAAATGTCAGCATTATGTGGTTTAAAGGAAATGGTATATTCCAAATAAAAGACTTGACTTTTAGTTTGAAAGTTGACCGTCCAGCTTTTATGTCGTAGCAGGTTACCTGCTCGCGGCGAGTTCGCAATTGTTGCCTTTTTGCAGGCAGTGTTAGGTTATTTGGCCTTCTTAAGTAACACATTTTAAACTTTAGGTAAGTGGTTTTTGTGTTCTATCCTTTCCCTCACACAACGAATTTGCACATTTTTCGTACATCTTCTAGAAGTCTCGTTTTATCGTCTTCCGAGCGGCGAGGGCCTGTAAACGCAGGGCTCAGTGCGGTCGGTCCTCTTTGTCTACTGTGAGGATTTCTCTTCACGTTCATTCATTCATCTCGGCACATGTGCTGTTTAAAAACAATGCATTGCATTCTTTTTCCTAAAAGAAACTCAGTGCTGCTTCGTGGTAAATTAGGAAAATTATACTGAATTGTTTGTTCCTCACGATGCACAAACACACACACACCCTCAATTACAGCACTGCAGCTCTCAGGGCGTGCTGGGTAACGCTATATCAAATCAAACTGTTGATTTGCTAATATTATCTGGTGCTATTATTATGACGATAAGCTTATATGTTTAATTACGGGAATGTGTTATGTCTTGCATTTTACACAGGCCGTTTGGCTAATATACATATACATAAAGAGAGAAATGTGTCGTTCTAACATAATGTAATGTGAATTTGAAGATTTCTTCTTATACATTTAAAAATTTTAATGTCTTACTTGAGTTTGAGTTTCTTGAGTTAAGTTTGTTTTTTTTTTTTTTAGAAATGTATGTAATCCTCTAAAATTACACTTTAAAATTGTCTTTAACAAATGTCAGTAAAGACTTGTTTTACAATGGCTTTATTTTAAATTAATATTAAAAATAAAGCATTGGATTATGAAGAATCTTCGTATATAATAATAATAACTAATTAATGATTGAACTCAAAACAATCAACATAATAGAACAACAAATCAGCATATTAGAATAATTTCTAAAGTGTGTGTATAGAATATAGCAGTCTTGTAATATTCAGGCTGTCTGTGAGGTCTTAAAGTCTTACATTCACTGAAATGTTGTGTTGTAAGTCTTAAATCATTTTAAATACATCTTAATTTCCTTATGTCCATGTAAAGCCACCCAATCGGGCCAACACCCATCCGACATTGAGGTAAAGTTGGGGTTTTTTATTCAAACTTTCAAGCTTTTTCCTTAATAATAGTTTCAGAAAAGTTTACTTTGCCAATTCTAAATCGAGAAACTATATCAGCAGCCAATGACTATCACAGTACAACATCGGTCAGTCTATTAAATACTCCTAATGTTGTTTTGGAGTCACACTTGCATGTTATTTTAGATGAAATATACAAACCAGCATGGTAAACAACATAGGGAAGCATTGTAATGAATGAATGAATGAATGAATGTGTGAAAATAAAACCAACTTTACCTTAATCCTATCAGTCCATCTCAAGTGTAAAAAAAAAAATCTATTTCTATTTATTAACTTATGGTCTAATTATTTTACTTACTATAACATTTGTTTTTAATGTTTTAACTGGGCCATTAGAAAAAAATCCTTGGTGTTTAGCTTTGTGTAAGTTTAAAAGTTCATTCATAATAGTCTATAAAAGATCTTAAAAAGTCCTAAATTTGACTTGATCAAACCTGTAGTAACCATGAATAACAAACACACTATTCCAGCTATTTACTTAACCAATTTGTTGCCCCATTTGTGTTAAAAATGTATGTTAATCAAATGTGCTAACTGAAATCTAACCAACCTTGGTCAGTACTAATGAGGTGTGTTCATGTCTTTACAGTTAATTGCTACAACTGTGACTTCAAATCCACAGTACTGCAGTTGGAAGTGCTGTTCACTGGTTTGGTGCTGGAATTGTGATTTTGCTGCGAGGAATCTACAGTGTGACCTGCTGTCTTCAATAAACCCCAACGCCATGGAGTGAGTCCCAAACATTAACATCATCTTATGTGTGAAAAATGTATAGGAGTCAGAGATCATTTAGGAATGTTAGAATCTATCTAAACCATTTACAAATGACTAAACGCATCAACAAGCTGCAGAAAATACTGTAATAAATGTCATAAAGTTGGAAAATGTTAGTCGCTTTACCTTTTGAAATGGACTGAATGTCTCTTTTCACTGCCCTAGTCGTGCTTCGAGTGCAAGTCAGCTGATTGCCAGCAATGTCACAAATAAAACGGACCCACGATCCCTGAACTCAAGGGTCTTCATTGGAAACCTAAACACTATGCTGGTCACCAAGGCAGACGTTGAAGCCATTTTTAGCAAATATGGCAAGATTGTTGGCTGCTCTGTGCACAAGGGTTATGCTTTTGTTCAGTTTGCCCAAGAAAGAAATGCTAGGACTGCTGTACAAGGAGAGGATGGACGGATGGTTGTCGGACAGGTGCTTGGTGAGGACATTTAAAAAAAAAAATATATATATATATATATATATATATATATATATATATATATATATATATATATATATACATACACACACACACACACACACGCACTTTTTTTTTTCTTCAATGTTTTTTTTTTTTTTTTCCTTGAATTGAGCTTTGAATCTTGTCTTTCGCTCAGATGTTAACTTGGCAGGAGAGCCCAAACCTCACAGGTCAAAAACTACAAAGCGATCAGCTGGGGACATGTACAGGTAGGAAATACATTTATTATTGTTTTTACCTATTTTAATGTTTTATTTCAGAGGGTGTTGTTCACACTTTAACTTTGGTCTGGCTAAAAAAAAAAAAGATACATTAGATTCTGAATTGCTTAATGTTCACTCTGTCAATTTTAAGAACCTACAGATACAAATAAAGGTTATGATCGGGCCAATTGGAACAAAACACTGACTGTGACTTTCCACATGGGATTATTAGTGTGCACGCCCAAGGCTGCGTTTGATTGGCCACAACATTTTCGAGAGAGATTGCAATGATAATTCTGCCTCTTATTTTTAAGTTTATCTAAGTTTATATTAATCTTGCTGCGCAATAGCCCAGTGATTAGTGCGCCAACATATGGTGTGTAAATGCTCCGAGCGTCTTGAGTTTGAATCCTGGCTCATGTACTTTTCCCGATCCTACCCCCTTCTCTCTCCCACTTCACTTACTGTCAACTTACTGTGCTCTCAAATACAGGCGAAAATGCCAAAAATAAATCTTAAAAATGAAAACTGCCTATGTGGGACTCTTATTTTGAAAATAGGGGAGGCAGTGAGACTGCAGAGCGCACAACACCTGTACACAGTAATAAACCTCATTTGTTCATGCCAAGGTTTGATATTAATTCCATCCACCGATTAGAGATCTCCACCACTTCTGTTGAAAAGGTTTAAAAAGGAATCTACTCAATTTGGTAATAGTTTTAAGTGTGGTTTTGTTTTTTTGTGCTTGCTTAAGCCACATTCCTACAATGTAGATATCAGAGAACAATTTTGCATGTTGATTCAGTGCACTGAAGAGTGCCTTTAAGACTTAATTGAACACTAAAAGCAGACGCACAAGATCATTTTAATCAAACCAAACCTAAAAAATGGGAACATGCCCTCATTTACCACATTTTATGTTGTCATCATTGCTATAATCTCGAATTTTCCAAAATCTCTCCAGCAGTAGCTCGTCTTTCGAGCTTGATTATGATTTCCAGAGAGATTACTATGACAGGTAAGACTTTAGTCATCAATGTGTCTTCTTAATACTCTGCATGCGTTTTTACTGAAAGTATGTGCTGTTATTTCTTATAATCTTATACTCCTTGTGTTGTGCAGAATGTATTCATACCCTTCCCGTGTGCCTGCACCTCCCCCTCTCTCACGAGCCGTGATCCCATCCAAGCGTCCACGAGTCAGCACGAGCGGAGCAACCAGTCGTCGCACCAAGTCCAGCTTCGCAACTTCATCCAAGAGCAGCCAACGGACATCCTCTCGAACCCGTCAGTACCTCTTAAATTATTCTCACTCTTAAGATGGTTTCTTTTTAAGGTTGTAGTGTTTAATACATAATTGGAAGGGTGGAATAATGTATTTGCTGTTAATTTATTTGCCCTCATGCTATCAAAAAATGTAGATTTTTAGTTTTTCTGATTGAGTGGAACATTAAAGTTGAAGTTAATGAATCGCAAAAGACAATGGTTTCAGCTAAACATCGTTAATGGACACTAGAACTTTGATAGTCAAAAAATACCTGTAAAACTAAATAATAGAGCTAGTTCCTGATGTTGCACTGAATCCTATGAAGTGTAATGGACAGTCTGTGCGAGAAGCTAGAGATTTTTTGCAACTTTATTACCTTTAATCCACAGCTCTGCAAACTGTCCAGAGCATGCTCCTGAGCACAAGCTTCCTTCCTCTATTATGACAATCTTACATGCAAGCTGTGTGTTGTATTGTTCATCAAACGGTGTTTGTTGTTCAGCTTGGATGCTGCAACCTCCATAGCAAGTAGGGCTGTGGTGAAAATGCATTCTCAATTGATTGTGAGATTTTCAAATTGCTTTGTTTTTCACTCTTGAATAGGGTATATGCACATAGGCTTTTAATTTTCACCCAGCCAGTCTAATTGCTACTGGAAAACTATTGTGCCATTACAAAATTGCCACTTTGAAGATCACTGATTTATTAAGAAATCCGATCTTAACTGCCTGATTGATAAACAAAATTAAGGGTCCCAGACCAGACAAGAAGTACTGCATTAAATTCCATTTTTCTTTTCAAATACGTAAATGTATTTTACCCCAGTATTTTTAATGGAGTTTCCGCACTGACCTGCTGCCACTGATGCCACTCGCCTTTACACTTTCATCTCATTTTATTCTTGGACAACTTAATAAAGGGGTTAAGTCTATTTAACTCATTGTATTTTAATTGCATTACAATATCGATGATAAAATTCAAAATAGCCATATAAACCTTTCACCTGAAGCTTATCGTTGGCTGAAATCACTAGCTGTGCTTATACCCCATTGATTCTGAGCTTAGTTTTTAACAGTAGATGGCACTCGAAACTAGTGATTAACCATACACTCAAAAGCTCATTACCAGCTGAGTCATGTAAATTGCTTTGAAACTAAGCTCAGAATAAATTCAGGAAAAATTAGCAACGCTTTCTGTATATCTCAGATTCAACACGCAATCGATTTTTCAATTGATTTTTCACCACTGTTCTAGAAAACAGCATCGGGTCACGTTATGCTGAGTTCAGACTGCATTTTAGCCCTGATTTTTGACTCGCTGACAAGTTTGAGAAATCGCAGACAAATGCCTGAAATCTCAGGCAAGTCGGTGCTCGTTCATGCGAGAAACAATCAGTGTGAACTATCAAAGACGTGATCTGAGAGATTCACTGAGAATGGCGATTCAAATCATGCCGTGTGAAATGTGTTCTGATTTAAATTAACATCGCCGATTTACCTACAGCCAATGAGAGAGCAGCATCCACTAGTATGGGTATCTGCAGGCCAGCGGGAGGTTGGGGGAGAAGTTAATTGTGTTCCTTTTCAGTCTATTTGGACCCGAGAAATGAGGGAAAAACTAGTGGAAATTTGGCAGGAGCACCTGTGGTCAAACAGAAAAAAAGTTGAGGAGAAATTTCTAATTCCCTTCAAATGCCAAGTAAGCAAAATAAGTACATTGTCGTAGTTTGGGGGCTGAGATAACCATGTCGGCCATTCTCCTACTCCAAAGTCATAAAGTGTGAAACTCCATCACTGAACCATCCTAGAGTGTAAACACAGCAGCGATGGACTGCTACCCCAGACAGTCATGCAGTGTGAAAACATCCGTAACACAACTACTTTGAAAATCATGCAGTCTAAACATGGTATAAGCTTACCATAGAAATTAATCTTGTTGCTTGTAATGTGTGTCATTTTTTGGTAGCCATTAACTCGCAACATACAAACAGGGCTCGAAATTAACCTTTTTGCTTGGTAGCACCGGTGCTCCTAACTTTAAAAATTTAGGCGCATCAGCCAAAATTTAGTCGCACCCACCAATTATGAGCACCGTTACTACAAGTTTTATACAAACATATTGATTGTATTTGAAATCAACACTAATCAAACTAACAAGCAAAAAAAATATATATATATATTTATATAAAACGTTATATGCAAGCGTGAGGAAAATATGTCTGAACAAAATCCTGTTATCACAAGAAAATAGATTTTTATAACATAACTGAGTGACCAAAGCATACACGGAGCGCTCACCAGCCCTGCACGCACTGCTTGAATTAACGTGTTAACGGTATAACTAGTAAGATGTGTCATTATTTGTAACTGTAGATGCCATGGTTTCTAAAACAAAATCTGTCAAGTGTTATGTTATCTTCATTCTCATCTTCAGCGCTTTACAATTTTTCGCGGTAGTAGCTCTCTGTCATCCGAAGCCAGAAGGCGCTGAGTGATTGACAGCTGATATTAACCAATCATTCGCGTTCGGTGCTAGAGCAGTGGTGGGCCAATAAGAAGAGCGCGAAGGCGGGGCGAGCATTACGGACTTGGATTTGTTTACTGCAGCAAGTTGACATGACAACTGTTTTAAACCATTCATGAGCGCTGCGTTTTGCGTTTCAAGTGCAGACAAAGAGCTTAGAGATGCATTCTGCGTGAATGTCTCCCGAATCCGCGCATGTGCTGAACATTTTGGAGTAAAAATTGGTCGCACACTACAATTTTAAACACTCTCAGAAATGCTCCCAAATATATTTCAAGGTCGCATAGATAAAATTTTGGGCGCATATGCGACCAAAATGGTCACAATTTCGAGCCCTGTACAAATGACTAATGACCGGTTTGTATAAAATTGAGCAAAATGTTTCCTACATGATGGATGACCAGAGGATTAACTTAACAGAAGAGTAAATTAACAGCATATTTTCATGTTTGGACTGTTATTATAACTGTCCTGTAAATACCACATTCTTTATTTTAAGCCTTCCTTGCCTGTCGGTTTTTACATGAATTTAGTTTTTCTTTTTCTTCAGTAAAAGCAGATGATCTTCAGACTATTAAGAGAGAGCTTTCTCAAATCAAGCACAAGGTTGACTTTCTTCTGGAGAGTCTGGACAGGATGGAAAAGGATCACGGCAAGAAATCTGGTAAAAAAAAAAAAAATCTTTTTACCTCTAATATATTTTTAGTTCATATTTGTTTATTTATTTATATAGCATCTTTCACAATGTAGATTGTGTCAAAGCAGCTTTACACAGTTCTAGTAAAGTCCAGTTTTCAGAGTTAAGGTTCAGATTAGTTCAGTTCAGCGTGGTTTAAATTTTACTGCTGCATGTTCAAACACTGTAGAGCAAATCCCCCGAAGTGAAGCTCCAAGTCCCGATCCAAGCAAGCCAGTGGTGAGGGAAAAAAAAACTTCACCAATTGATTTTACAATATAAAAAAAAACAATTTTCTGTTTCATATATTTTTAAATGTTTTTTATTCCAACAAAATGCCAATAATTGCAGTCTTTAATGTCAGTTATTCATCACAAATAATTGTAATACGCTGATCTGAAGCACAGAAAACGTATTATCAATGTTGAAATGGTTATGTTGCTTAATATTTGTGTAAAAATAAAATTACTTATAAGTAGGCCCAAACGGAATCTGTGCGCAGAATTCTACAGATTTTTAGCCAATCATTGATTCTGTTTATTTACGTGAGTAAATTTATATTTATTCAGTTTTAAAATTAGTTACAGTAATATTGACTAACATGAAAATATTTGTGATTTATTTACAATACAGTTTGTACAGTAATATTTTCTGTCTTTTAGTAGAGATATGAAAGACTTGCTTTGTTTACCAAATAATGTGGATCTAATTGGATTTAAATTGTAAAAATTAAATACAAGTCAAAAATGTATTACTTTTTATTTCATATGTTAGGGTTTTAGTTCTGATACTCCCAAAAGTCATTTCGCATAATCCTGGCCCTGCTTATGTTATTATAAATAAATAGAAATTACATTTAATGTTTTATTTGTTAATTTATTTTGAAATAAACATTTAAAATGCATTTTATATTCATTGCTTATCTGTCTACTGTTACTTCAGAGGGGAAGAGTGTGAAGGCAGAAGTTGGTGAGGTTTCTCCCCTCCAGCATTCCAGCAAGAAAGAGAGAGAGAGGGAAGAGCAAGAGATAAACGATTCAGAGGAGGAGAGAGATCTGCTGGGGGAGGAAGAAGAAGAAGAAGAAGAGGAAGAGGTGTGTGTGGTGGTTGCTGGAGGAAGACACCCAAAGCCGTGTGATATTCTGATGTTGCTGAGGCTGACAAGTGTCTTTGTTCTTCTCAGGTTAAAAGCCAGGGTGGAGAGAATGAGAATGAGGAAGAGGAAGGAGAAGAGGAAGAGGGTGAGCATGAAGAAGGGGAAGATGATGGCGATAGCATTAATGGTGACGACTCGTAATTTTAAACGCTCTGGATACCAGACTTCCACTCAGATTTCAGCCCTTTCAGTTCTTTTGAAAAGGTTGAAGCAAGTCTTTAAAAGATCCATCTATGATGATGTAGATGTCTGTGCTCTTATCTTAGCTGACACTGCGATCACGTCAGTTTGAGTGATGTCAGTTTATTTTTAATGTTAGCATGACATCTTTCAGGCTCTTGAAGTATCCCTCAACCTTGAAGAAGATAAACGTCTGTTTTCAACACAAACTATTACATTCTCCACTTAATCTTAATCATTGAGACGTGAACCAGAGATGTTTTTATTTATCACTAGCAGAATATGTCTATAATGCTTTCTCTGTGTGGATCTGGCTTCTTCCTTGTTTGCCCTTTTGTCTCTGGTGAGTTTTTTTTTTTCTTTCTGTGAGCAAAGTTAAAATTTGTATTTTAAAAAGGGGGAAACTTTACAGTGACTCCTTTACAGAGTCACCGAAGCTTCCAGTGAGCATCTATGTTTGTATTTACCTGTCTTTTTATATTGCCCTGTTTCAGAATAATTCTACAGGATCATTTCAATAAAATATTAAATTAAATTGTGCTTTTTCTTTTTTTAAACAGATGGAAATAGTTTTTATTTAGTTTTTAAATAGTAATATTTAGGATTAGTCAAACTGTTGTTTTTCCAATTATTTGTATTTGTATAATTATGTATTTATATAGACGTTCACAAGGGAAAGATCAGAAAACCACTGAAACTAGTGTAACTTCCCGGATCATCAAAAACCCAGGTGTTGCTGTAAAGCTTTGTATACATTTGATCACCGGGCTCCAGTGTGAGAACAACACCATTGCTGCCATTGGCATTGAATGTAGGTTTATAAGCAAACACAGAGCACTGGGTTACACCATTTTTTTGTAAACTGATTGCCATTGTGGTTCCACCGTGACAATGACCATAAAATCTGAAATAATAGACTCCTTTCACTGGTGCTGTGAAAATACCTGTAAGGTACAAAAGTAGCCAGAGAACATGTCATTGTTAAGCAGGAGTACAGTCTGATTTCCATTTATTGTATAAATTCTCTTTACAGCACTTACCAGTATTTAAGTCATAAGCATTTCCAACATTACTGAAGACTTTTTTGTAGATCAGAATTTGATCTGAATTAATGGGTCCAGTGTTTCCTTCTCCAGATGCAAGAAGCCCAGCTGAGAAGGCCACCTTGTTGACTAAATAAGCAAACAGACTAATGTAAAATATTAATTTTAGCATTTACATGTCTACTGTGTACCATTTACTTGCCTTTATTGTCCTTTTGGAAATTTTCCATCTTATTTTGAGAATCTTGCAGTAAGGTTTTCAAAGCTGTTTTTTAGTGGGGGTTTGAAACATAGATATATTGTTACACATCTAATATTATATCAAAATGACGTTCAATGAAAAGCAGCTAGAGTTTTAACCTTACCTTCATTTTCACGTAGTACTTTGGACAGTGTATCTTCTAATTTTTGAATCCTTTCCTCCATGTTTTTCAGCTTCTCAAGTTCAGTAATTATGTTCACATTTGGTGAAAATAAGTCCTCTGCAATTGAGCTGCCAACACAGAACAGCAGAGCGATTTGTAACACCACCATCTCTTTTACTTGAATAACTCCTGTGATTGTTCTGCTATTGAAGTTGCATAAGTTGTACTTTAGACTGATGATGAGAAGGATTTGTTTATTTAAGTTGCCCGTTAGGACAGGTCCGATGTTCGACTGAGTTACAGAAAGTAGTCCAGTATTTCCCCTTTTGTAAAAAAAATAATAATAAATAAATTATGGTGTACTGAAGTAGTATTCTGTCATGCAAAAATATGCAAAAAAGCATAATCAATCGTTATCATATCAGAGAACACCCAAAACAGTTTTTCATTTGCTCACCTTTCGCCCGTTTCAAACTTTTGAGTTTCTTTATTTTGCTGAATACAAATGAAGGAATGTTGAAAATCGGTAATTTGTTTTTCACTACTTGTTTTTCATGAAATGGATATTACTGTTTGCTATTTTCAACAATAAACTCAACCTTTCCTTTAAGAAGGACATTATTATGACCGTCCAATCACATTTCCGGATCGATTAGTTTAAAGGCGGGAATCATCATCCAGGCTGACCATTCAGCGTCAGTGGAGGAAGAAGAGAGGGGAAGTCAGATTAAGTCAGTAAAAGGTATGTTTAATAACAGCAATTTTTTATTAATATAAATGTCTATAGTTTATTCGCTCAATTAGTGTTTCGGCCGCGGAAGGACTTCAAAGCACTTAACAAACGTTTCTAATGTTACTTCACGAAAGCTATTCAGTATCCAAAAACCGTAAGTTAATATTGTTATATTAAAAAAATAATTGATTTCATGAGAAGCTACTTTTTACAAATGTTATTATTATATATATATATATATATTTTTTTTTTTTTTTTTTTTTTTACAAATGACTATGGCTTTTTGTAGGGACAGCATCCTCAGAATAGTAGCTTTATTTAGAACTTTACCGAATTACCAAAAGGAAAAAATCGAATGCGAATCTCTCATTCCACCACATTCCAAAGGTACTCTATTGGATTGAGATGCACAATTGGTACCAATGGGCCCAAAGTGTGCCAAGAACACCACCAACAGCCTGAACCATTGATACCAGGCAGGATGGATCCATGCTTTCATGTTGTTGACGCCAAATCTGACATTAACGAATATCGCAGCAAAAATGAACGTTTTTCCAATCTTCTGTTGTCCACTTTTGGTGAGCCTGTGCATAATGTTGGCATTATGATTGCTATAAATTAATGCCAGATTTACCACTAGATGGCATCATAATGGAAAATATGAATAGGCATTAGTTCAATAGTTTGCTACAAGTTCTGAAATTAAAAATGCCTAGTTTAGCATATATGTTTGCCATGTAAAGCAATTTTACAGACATTTAAAAAGTTGTAAATGTTTTAATGTTACATGGACTATTGTCACTTGATATTTGTTTTACATATTTTGATGTATAAATATTTCATAATCCAATCATTTTATAAAAGTTAAAATCCTCACTTTTTCCCTGAATGAATGTAATTTAGAAATACGTCATAGACTTCTTGGCATAGACTTTAAATAGGTTTTGAGCATGTCCTATTAACAAATGTCATTACCATTTAATGAAGGATTATGATTTTTTTGACAGTCTACACCGGATATGCGGTAACATCCAAGCGCTCTTCTTTTACTTACATCCCCCTTTTCATCACATCATCTCTCTCAAACGCTCTGCTTTGCTTCATCATTAACCACCAGCTGACGACTAAATAGGCTTTAACTCCACAGGCCACTAAATAAAGAGGCTGAAGCAAAGAGAACATGTAAGATCACGTTACATGATTTTTATTAATACTTCGCCTCTCGTCTTTCAATTTGTCAAGCAATCTTGAGCTATTTAGCGACCTTGCGCACACATATGATCTTGTGCATACTCTAACTGTAGCGCGCTCACAGAGTTTGAACATGTAGGCCGTAAAACTAAATTCTTATCTCTGATCAACAAACCGAACATGAATGCTAGTCGGTCGTGTGTCATATGCACCATTTTGGCCAAAGCAGAATTGCAAGCCAGAACTGACTGCCCAAAATGCAAAATGACATCTGTGAAACCTAAGGAGGTTTCAGCCTCGTCCCGGACTGACCTAGTGCCACATTCTAGCACCAAGGATAAGCCAAGTGCGACAAATAAGACACCCTCCACCCCATGCCCGTCTCCAGGCCATGTCTTGTATTTTTAGCCAAGATCTGAGCGCTGTAACACTTAATATGGCATAGGACGTCTTCCTGTGTGCCTTAAGAGCTCTTTCAACTTTATTACGTGCTACTTCAATCTTTATACTCTTTCATTCATGCTTAATCTACAGTTGTACCAAATGCACAAACTTTCCTTGTCATTTTTGGACCATTTGAATTTCTATTCAGAATACAAACGACTGATTTGAAATGTTTAATTTGTGAGAACACTTTATAATAACTACACACTATAAATCATCTATTAAGCATTAGCAAATAGTCAGTTTATTATCTGTTAAAGATTAACTCTACATTAACAGATGTTAGTAGTAAGCATAACTGCAGATAAAAATGCTCTATTCTTGACTAATAAGCACATATATAATGTTCTTATTTATTGTATTTTCATTATTTCCATTTCATTGTATTTTCATACTTTAATTATTATATGTTCATTAGTAAATTAAGTATCACATCATTTACAAACCAGTTATTTGAGAGAAGTTGCTGGTTTTAAAGATTATTCAGAATGCACAAGTAAAGGATTAACAAACTATTCAAATTAACATGTATATATCTTATTAGGCAAGTATTAATAGTTAATTTGTATGTTTTTAACTCAACTTCATCCAGTTTGTGACCTAATCTAAAGTGAGGACTTTTTATTCTTTATGCAGTGCATCCAGAAAAATTCATAGCTCTTTCCCTTTTCCACATTTTTTTATGTTACAGCCTTATTCCAAAACGGATTAAATTCATTTATTTACTCGAAATTCTACACGCAATACCCCATAATGACAATGTGAAAAAATATATTATTTAAATTGTTGCAAATTTATTAAAAATAAAAAACCCTGAAAAATCACATGTACATCAGTATTCACAGCCTTTGCTCAATACTTTGTTGATGCACCTTTGGCAGCAATTACAGCCTTAAGTCTTTTTGAATATGATGCCACAAGCTTGGCACACCTGTCTTTGGGAATTTTTGCCCATTCCTCTTTGCAGTACCCCTTAAGTTCTATCAGGTTGAATGGGAAGCGACGGTGTACAGCCATTTTCAGATCTCTCCAGAGATGTTCAATAGGATTAAGGTCTGGGCTCTGGCTGGGCCACTCAAGGAAATTCACTGAGTTGTTGTGAAGCCACTCCATTGATATTTTGGCTGTGTGCTTTGGGTCATTGTCCTGCTGGAAGATGAACCGTCGCCCCAGTCTAGGGTCAAGAGCACTCTGAAGCAAGTTTTTTATCAGGATGTCTCTGTACATTGCTGCATTCATCTTTCCCTCTATCCTGACTAGTTTTCCAGTTCCTGCTGCTGAAAAACATCTCCACAGCATGATGCTGACCAAACGTAACATCTGGCATTCACTCCAAAGAGTTCAATTTTAGTCTTGTCAGACCAGAGAATTTTGTTTCTTATGGTCTGAGAGACCTTCAGATGCCTTTTTTTTGCAAATTCCAGTGGCTTCCGTCTGGCCACTCTACTATACAAGCCTGATTGGTGGATTGCTGCACAGATGTCTTTCTGTAAGGTTCTCCTCTCTCCACAGAAGAACGCTGGAGCTCAGACAGAGTGACCATTGGGTTATTGATCACCTCCCTGTCTAAGATCATTCTCCCCCAATCACTCAGCTTAGATGAAGCTCTAGGAAAAGTCCTGGAGGTTCCAAACATCTTCCACTTATGGATGATGGAAGGCACTGTGCTCATTGGAACTGTCAGAGCAGCAGACATTTTTCTGTAACTTTCCCTAGCCTTGTGCCTCGAGACTATCCTCTCTCGGAGGTCTACAGACAA